TTTATTTCAAATGCAGTCTAAATCACATGCTGGGATACTCTAAGAAATAAAAGTTTGCATATGCAAAATGAGAAGGGTTTATATCACTGCTATGAATGGCAAATATAAATTACATAAATATTCAAATTTTTTCAGTATTATTTCAGAATAATTAAACTATAAGTAATAATAATTCAGATCTGGATCAGAGAACTGACATTGGAAATGGTCCTGGAAAGGTATCTGTTTTTTTTCTTAGGGGGTGTTACAAATAGTGAGAATATTCACGAATGAAACACTGCCATCCTGCTTTGGAAGTGTTTGTGTTGTTTTATTTTTTATTTATTTGTTTTGTTGTTACTAAAGTAGATGTACCTTTAATTTTGGTATACTATTGGTAGTAATAACTTTTGTCTCAAAGAAATCAAGCTTCTTAAAATTTTGTGATATAATTGTTTGACATTAAATGGTTCTTACAATTAGCTTAATTACAAGTCAATCTTGAACATGTGGATTAAATTTCCTTTTCTAAATACTCATTAGTCTAATATTGTAGGAAAGCTGTTAGAGTGCTGCAGAATATTTATTATTACTTATTGACTTTCTCAATAGTAATGAAATCATGTAGAAAATAATAATTCAAAATTTAGTCCCCTTTCCCAATTGTTGCAAACAGTTAAAAATAGTTTATACTAAGACATTCATGCATAAGCAGAGATGTAGTTAATGGGACAAATGTACCCAGTGACATATTTCATTTTTAAAATGTCTTTTGTGATTTATTCCTTTGTGGAAATATTAACCCATTGTTTTAGTGGTTGGAGAACATCCTGAATTACATATCAGCATGCCCTTTTCAATAATACTGATGTACATTGCTCAAGGAAATGAAAATTTTCTGTTTGTGTAATATTTTGTAATTATATTTTTATAGTTATTCACTGTCTGATATATGCATACATATAAATGCACAGAGATCATGTACATATATTTTCTTTGAGTTCCTTCTTTATACATTTTCTGATAAACAACAATGGCATCGGTAGAAATGTGCCCAGATGTGGCTTTAGCTTCACTCATGCACTGGCATATAAACTTACTGGAGAATCTCTTCTAGTTTCTTTATGATGTCTTTATTGTTGAATGCTCATAGTGAATGTATCATTATTTGGATTATAATATAATAGATTCATTTGTCTCCTGCCTGGCTCCTCTCATTAGAAAATAAACTTAAGAAGTTGAGTCTTCTTAGTCAGTGATGTAAGAACTTGGCACATCATGGATTCTGAATATATTTTTTGCTACAATTTGAATATGACATTTTGTCTGGAGGCTTATGAGTTAAATGCTTGATTTCCAGTTGGTGGCATGATTTTGGGAGATACTGGAAATTACAGAAATTGGGGCTAGCCTGACATATGCTTCTGAAAGTGATATCTGTTCCCCTAGTCTCCTCCTCTTTTGCTCATGAGGTGATGAAACTTTGCTTACACAGTCACACAGCTACGATACTCTACCCAAGTACCCAAGTACAGAGAGCCACTGTGGTTGAACCCTTGGAACCATAAGCCCAAATAAAGCCTTCCTCCCTTAAAATGGTCACCCAGATATTTTGGTGATAGTGAAAATAAGAAATGCAATTGTGCAATAAATTGATAAATAAATCACCAATATATAACTTTTATAGAAAATGTTTATACTTTCTAGAAAGGATTCACTGCTGCAATATATTGAATGAATTACTGTAAAAGGACTATTACTCTTTGACTTTCTATAGTATTTGAGAGCTATAGAACCCATGTTCTCTTTAAATCAGGAGAAAATTGAGAAAAGATGCTGGTTCCCATCAAAGCAAAGCAGAGAGGGAGGTTAGTTAATCTCTAGGAACTTTAGTGGGTTAATGGGAGGGAAAAAGGGACTAGGACATAACATAACCTGGATTCCGTTGAAGGAACAGTGACCAGGAAATCCATACAATGACAACGAGCCTTTGAGAAGTGAACAGTGAATAACGAGTGATCCTCAAACTGGAACCTTGTCAGAAATAGAAAGAGAAGCCAGGACATCTGAGGCTGTAGAGATTTCTGTCATTGGCTCCAAAATATGGAAATTATTACATTAAAATCATTAGTATTTTATACTACCTATTAATTGTACTCACCACATTGATATATTCTGGCAAACTTTAATTTTCCAAGTAAAATTATCCCACTGTTGCTTCCCAGCATGCACACCCTCTGGGTCCTATAGACACCTTCTTCTAAGTCCAATACCTTGTTTTCTATGGTAAAGTCTATTCTCTCACCATTTCAAAACATTTAAAAATTGATTGACTGTTTAATGGGAATCACTTCCCTCTTTTATACTAAAATAATTAAAATTAGGTATCAAAAATAATATTTCTTATGCCTATCAATTGTAAAAGTCATCTTTGAATTTATTATTATTTTTTCAGAGTTTATGAATTATGGTTCTTTCTTTTGTTCTATTTTCTATTTACAGAGTTAAATGTATTTGTAAAATAACACTCAAGCTTTCTATTGTTGATTAATAAAGTTAATAATAAAGTAATACATTTCTTACCCCTTCAAAATCATCAGATTAATACTGAATGTTTTTTCTCTTTTTGCCTTTGTTTCTTTTTATGTTTATTTGTCTCTTTTTCTTTTTGACAGACTTAATATGATATTTATTTCATTTGTCTTTGTTTTAGTTACAGACAAAAATGTTTTTTTTCAAGATTTTTTATTTTTATTATGTATACAACATTCTGCTTCCATTCTTCTGCACACTAGAAGAGGGCACTAGATCTTATATTGGATGGTTGTGAGCCACCATGTGGTTGCTGGGAATTGAACTCAGGACCTCTGAAAGAGCAGTCAGTGCTCTTAACCTCTGAGCCATCTCTCCAGCCCTAGTTACAGACAAAAATGTTTACAGATGGTGACAATAAGTAAAAGATGAGATCTTCCATTTCTTCATTCTGTTCAAATTAATACTAACCAGTAAGAATTTATTAAAGTTACAATTTAACCAAATTAAAATTGGACAGACCCTAAGAGAGACATACATGGTCCCCCAGAGAAGGGGAAAAGGACAAAATCTCCTGAACAAATTGAGAGCATGGTGGGAGGGGAGAGGGAGGTAGGAGAATGAGAAGCAGAGAAGAGGAGGGCAGAGGAGGACATTAGGGAGCAGGAAGGATGAGTCAGGGGAGAGCAAGATAAGAGATACCATAATAGAGGTAGTCATTATAGGTTTAAAGAAAAATCAGGCACTAGGGAAATCTCCAGAGATCTACAAGGATCACACCAACTAACAATCTAAACAACAGAGGATAAAGTACCTAAAATTCTCTCCCCTGATAATGAGATTGATTACTAACTTGTATGTCATCCTATAGCCTTCATCCAGCAACTGATAGAAGTAGAAGCAGATACCCACAGCTAAACAGTGAGATGAACTGGACTCCAGTTGCAGAGAGGGAGGATTGATGAGCAAAGGGGTCAAGATGTCCTGAACATGGGGGAGCTCATGGTCCCCAGACTGATAGCTGGGAAACCAGCATGGGACTGATCCAGACCCCATGAACATGGTGTCAGTGAGGAGGCCTCAGAAATCTATGGGGCTCTTGTACTTATCAGTATTCATCCCTAGCATAGGAATGGACTTTGGGAGCTCATCCCACATAGAGGGAAACTCCGTGAGCCTAGACACAAGGGGGAGGGCCTAGGCCCTGCTCCAAATAATATGACAAACATTGAAGAACCCCCCTGGAAGGCCTTACCCTCCCTGGGGAGTAGAAAGGGAATTAGATAGGGGGTTGGTGGGGTCAGGGTAGGAGGGGAGGGAGAGGGAACTGGGATTGACATGTAAAACAATCTTGTTCCTAATTTAAATAAAAAATGCAAACAAAATAAAATTGGAGCATTTGAGATCATTCCTGGGAAAACATGTGTGCTGATTTCCACAGAGCATGATAACATTGTGGCATAATGCTAGGCAGGAGGTTTCAACCCAGTATCATCTCAGAAAGAATCCAATATAAGAACAAAGGCAAATGAGGGAAGCAAAGATGCTATTTTGAGCAATCCAAATGATGTGTAATTTGAGAACTTCTAGGGAATAGAAGGAAATAGAGTATAAAATCAGTTGAAAGTAAAGTATTGGGATATTGTTTTGCATGCTGCTTCATTTTCTTTTCATTGGCAAACTAATGGAAATTAGAAATGATGGGGGCAATTAATAGCAGTGGGAAGTAGTGGCTATGGAAACATGAATGGGGCCAGGGGACATTACAAACCTCCAGTGGTAACAATCGTGGTCTGCAGTAAGACTCCTCTTCCCAGTCTCTTTTTGTAGGCTACCTCCCCATCCAACTTCACCACCCACCTGCTCTTTAATTTTCCCAAATGCTAGAGAAAATAGCACAGCTGGCAGAGTTCCAATAGAGCACAAGCCCGAATCAGGGGAAGTTCGAAGTTCAAATCTTCCTTAACCACTGTAGTCCTTGGTGATAATTAACAGCTTTGTTAGGTTCATGGGAGCAGCTAACAACATAATCAGTGTAAAGGGAAAGTGCTCTCTTTGGGCTACCTCCACAGATCTGCGAGTCTCATTCAAACAGGTCAGGAGCCTGCAGGTAGAAGCTAATGCAGAGGCCATGGAGGGTGCTGCTTATTGGCTTGCTCAACTTGATTGCTTGCTTTTTTTAGGGATGGCTCCATGCACAATGGGCTGAGCCCATTAACTTCAATCACTAAGTAAATGGCTTACAGGCTTTCCTATAGCTGGATCTTATGGAGGCATTTTCTCAGTTGAAGCTCCCTCCTCTCTGATGACTCATTCGTGTCAAGTTGATCTAAAACTGGCCAGGACAGAGAGGTACCAGTTAATACTGGTTAGTTCATCATTCTAGCAAATGCAGGACACTGATGAGGCTTGGTGGTTGGGGAAACTGGAGAGGAAGGGGTATGTGTGTGAGCTGTACTTCTCCAAATGCTTTAACAGCTTTCCTTGCAAATGTTCTTTGTACTGGTCTGATTCAAGACCGTGGGATGCTGATATACTCTCAGTCCTGGACCCTCATCTAAACTCTTCTTGGATGTCCTGCTGTTGCCTGAGTCACGGGGAATCCTGCAACTATGGTTCCACAAGACCAGATGCTTCATCAACTCCAGCAGGTCACAGATGTGGTATATATTGGTGTAGGCCAACTCACAACACTGTATGTGAGTCTGAGTGGTAGCTGAGTTGGTCAGTTAGTCCCTCTGATGGTACTGCCCTCATTAGGCAAATAATAGAGCCAGATCTCCTGTGCTCATAACATGGAGGGGGTTCAACTGTCCCATGAAGGGCAGGGCTATCTCTCCCAGGGAGGTGCAGAGTCAGATCTCCCAGGGCCAACAGAAAGGCAGGGACTGCTCAGTACAGCCCTCAGGCTTCAACATGCATGGTTTGCATGTCCTAGCCTGGTAATATGGGCCATAGAAATCACCACAGACCCAAACTGTAGCAGGATCATGGAACTAGGCATAGCCTTCAGCAGCTTTAATCCCAGAACTAGAGAGGTATATAAGGAAGAAGCAAAGTCAGTCTTAGGCAATTAGTCTCCAACCACATCAAAGAGAGCATAGCAATGTAGGATTGCAGTGTGAGGTTTGGTGGAGAGCATTGGACTCTGAGGATTCATGGAGCCACTCATTCCAGTCTGAGGTAGAGGGAAGAGTAGGTGCTGTCTTCTTTGCTTCTCTGATCATTAGCTTGAAGATTGAACCCCAATGTCTATCTCTAGGACTTTATTATTCATATTACAAGTCTCTAAAAACCAAACAAAAGAAGAAGAATGTAAAATGGAAGAATAGTCAAAATGTCTTTCCCTTATATTTGAATAAGAGAAAATAAACTTCTGCAGGAGGTTTTTGCTCAGAAAAAAATAATGTGTTTTATGCCAATAATCTCTACATAAGCCCCACTCCTTCCCTTGTCTTTTTAATACATATGTCTACCTCTACAAAGGTACTTTCCAACCTCAATACAAAGATCCTTAAGAAAAACCACATGGATTTTGTCAAAGGCTTTTTCAGCATCTAGTGAGATAATGATGTGGTTTTTTTTTTTTAGTTTGTTTATATGGTGGATTACATTGATGGATTTTCCTATGTTGAACCATCCTTGCATCCCTGGGATGAAGCCTACTTGATCGTGGGGGATGATTTTTCTGATGTGTTCTTTGATTCGATTCACCAATATTTTGTTGAGTAGTTTTGCATCGATTTTCATGAGGGATATTGGTCTGTAGTTCTCTTTTTTAGTTGTATCTTTGTGTGGCTTGGGTATCAAAGTGATTGTAGCCTCTTAAAAAGAGTTTGCTATGTCCCTTCTGCTTCTATTGTGTGGAACAATTTGAGGAGTACTGGTATTAGCTCTTGTTTAAAATTCTGGTAGAATTCTGCAGTGAAGCCATATGGCCCTGGGCTTTTTTTGGTTGGAAGGCTTTTGATGAATGCTTCTATTTCACTAGGAGTTATAAGTAGATTTAAACTGCTTATCTGTTCTTGGTTTAATTTTGGTAAATGATATCTATCCAGGAAACTGTCCATTTCCCTTAGATTTCCCAATTTTGTGGAGTAAAGGTTTTCAAAGTATGACCTGATGATTCCCTGGATTTCCTCAGTGTCCCTTGTTATATCCCCCTTTTCCTTTCTGATTTTGTTAATTAGCATGTTCTCTCTCTGCCTTTTGGTTAGTTTGGATAAAGGTTTGTCTATCATGTTGATCTTCTCAAAGAACCAACTCTTTGTTTCATTGATTCTTTGTAATGATTTCCTAGTTTCTACTTTATTGATTTCAGCCCTAAGTTTGATAATTTCTTGGCATCTACTCCTCCATGGTGAGTTTGCTTCTTTTTTCTCTAAAGCTTTCAGTTGTTCTGTCAATTCCGTAGTGTGACTATTCCCCAGTTTCTTCAAGTGGGCACTTAGTGCTTTCCTCAAAGTGTCCCACAAGTTTGGATATGTTGTGTGTACATTCTCATTAAATTCTAGGAAGTACTTAATTTCTCTTTTATTTCTTTCTCAACCCAGGAATGGTCCAATTGGGTGTTATTCAATTTCCATGAGTTTGTAGGTTTCTGCAATTTGTATTGCTGTTGAATTACAGCTTTAAAGCATGGTGATCTGATAAGATACAGGGGGTTATTTCAATACTTTTGTAACTGTGGAGGTTAGCTTTGTTGCCAACTATGTGGTTGATTTTAGAGAAAGTGCCATGTGGTACTGAGAAAAAGGTAAATTGTTTTGTATTTGGATGGAATGTTCTATAGATATCTGTTAAACCCAGTTGGGTCATAACTTCCATTAGATATTTTGTTTCTTTGTTGAGTTCCTGTCTGGAGCTCCTGTCTAGGGGTGAAAGCAGGGTGTTGAAGATCCCTTCATGATAAAGATCTTGGAGAGAATGGGAATAACAAGAACATATCTAAACATGATAAAAGCAATATACAACAAAGGAACTGCCAACATCAAACTAAATAGAGAGAAACTCAAAGCGATTCCTCTAAAATCAGGAACACGACAAGGTTGTCCACTCTCTCCATATCTCTTCAATATTGTATTGAAGTTTTAGCTAGAGCAATAAGAAAAGAAACACACATCAAAGGGATACAAATTGGAAAGGAAGAAGTCAAACTTTCACTATTTGCAGATGATATGTTAGTCTAAATAAGTTACCCAAAAAACTCTACCAGGGAACTCCTACAGCTGATAAACACTTTTAGCAAAGTAGCCAGATACAAAATTAACTAAAAAAAATTCAGTAGCCATACTATATACAGATGGTAAATCCAATGAAAAGGAAATCAGAGAAACATTACCCTTCACAATATCCACCAGCAACATAAAATATCTTGGGGTAAAGCTAACCAAAAATGTGAAAGACCTGTACAGTAAGAACTTTGAGTCTTTAAAGAAAGAAATTAAATAAGATACCAGAAAATGGGAAGCTCTCCCATGATCTTGGATAGGAAGAATCAAAACAGTAAAAATGGCAATCTTGCCAAAAGTAATCTACAGAGTCAACACAATCCCCATTAAAATCCCAACTCAGTTCTTTACAGACTTTGAAAGAATAATACTCAATATGGAAAAACAAAAAACCCAGGATAGCCAAAAAAATGATGTACAATAAATGATCTTCTGGAGGCATCACCATCCCTGACTTCAAGCTCTACTTTAGAGCCATAGTTCTGAAAACAGCTTGGTATTGGCACAAAAGTAGAAAGATAGACCAATGGAATTGAATTGAAAATCCTAATATTAATCCACACACCTATGAATACCATATTTTTGACAAAGATGCTAAATCCATACAATGGAAGAAAGATAGCATCTTCAACAAATGGTGCTGGCACAATTGGATTCGGACATGCAGAAAATTGCAGATTGATCCATACCTGTCACCATGCACGAAACAAGTGCAAATGGATCAAAGATTTCTCCATAAATCCAGCCACACTGAATCTTCTAGAAGAGAAAGTGGGAATAACCCTTGAACAAATTGGCACAGGAGAACGATTCCTGAACATCTAGCACAGACATTGATATCTTCAATTAATAAATGGGACCTCCTGAAACTGAGAAGCTTCTGTAAAGCAAAGGACACAGTCGGTGAGACAAAGCGACAGCCTACAGAATGGGAAAAGATCTTCACCAACCCCACATCTGACAGAGGATTTATCTCCAAAATATACAATGAACTCAAGAAGCTAGCCACCAAAACACCAAACAATGAATTTAAAAAGTGTGGTGCAGAACTAAATAGAGAATTCTCAACAGAGGAATCTGAAATGGCTGAAAGACACTTAAGAAAGTGTTCAAAATCCTTGGTCATCAGAGAAATGCAACTAAAAACATCTCTGAAATACCTCCTCACACCTGTCAGAATGGCTAAAATAAAAAACACCAATGACAATCTATGCTGTCGAAGATGTGGCGAAAAAGGAACACTCCTCCATTCCTGATGGGAGTGCGAACTTGTAAGACCACGTTGAAATCAGTATGGTAGTTGCTCAGAAAAATGAGAATCAGTCTACCTCAAGATCAAGCAATTCCTCTCTTGGGCATATACCCAAATAATGCATGTTCATACAACAAGGACATATGTTCAACCATATTCATAACAGCATTGTTTGTAATAGCCAGAACCTGGAAGCAACCTAGATGCCCCTCAACTAAAGATTAGATAGAGAAGATGTGCTACATTTATACAATGGATTACTACTCAGCAGAAAAATGCAATGGAACCTTGAAATTCGCAGGCAAGTCGATGGAATTAGAAGAAACCATCCTGAGTGAGGTAACCCAGACACAAAAAGACAAACATGGTATGTACTCACTCACATATGAAATTTAGACATAGAGCAAAGGATTACCTACAACCCTCTTCACCAAAAAAACTAGGAAACATGAAGGACTCTAAGGGGAAAATGCATAGATCCCAGAAATGGCATGGGGCAGGAACTCCTGAGCGAATTGGGAGCATAAGGGTTGGGGAGAGGGAGCAGACAGAATGAGAGGAGGAGGAGAGGAGAGGAGAGGAGGAAATGGGGGAGCAAAAATAATGAGTTGGGGAAGAATAGAGGACAGAAGGATGGGAGATACCATACTAGAGGGAGCCATTATAGGTCCAAGGAGACATCTGGCACTAGAGAGATTTCCAGAGATCTACAAAGATGACATGAACTGACAAATCAGGCAATGGTGGAGACGATAACCTAAATGCCCTTCCCCTCAAATGAGATTGATGACTACTTTTTATGCCATCCTAGAGCCCTCATCCAATGGCTGATGGAAACAGAGGCAGACATCCACAGATATACACTGAACTGAACTCTGGAACTTATTTGCAGGAATGGAAGAATGAAGATTGAAGGGGATGGTACCAGTGGTGAAACCCACACAAACAGCTGGCCTGAAGAAGGGAGAATACATCGAACCCAGACTGCTGTCTGGGAGGCCAGTACAGGACTGATCTAGACCCCTGAACCTGGATGTCAATGAGGAGGCCTCTGCACTCTAGGGGGCCCTTGGTAGTGCATTAGTATTTTTCCCTGGTGTAAGAAGGGTCTTTGAGAACCCATTCGACACGAAGGGATACACTCTTGGCCTGGACACATGGGGAAGGGCCTAGGCCCAGCCTAGGATGATGTGGTGGACTTTGGGGAGACCCTTTTGAGGGCCCTAACATGTCTGGGGAGTGAAGGGTGGATGGGGTTGGGCATAGGTCGGGGGTGGAGGAGGAGGGGTGGGGTTGAGGGAAGGGAGAGGGAGAAGGGATTGATATGTGAAACAAGCTTGTTCCTAATTTGAACTAATAAAAAAAAATAAAAAAGAAAAGAAAAGAAAAACCATATGGATAGTTCCTAATTTTTGCATTGACCTTTTGACAGGGTCCCGGACTAAGGTCCCAAAGATCTTAGCATAGATGACTCCATGATGGAAGTGGCACTCAGGCTGTAAATCTTCGCAACCCTCCCTCCCCGGCCAAAGCTAAAACAAAGGCCTAATCCATCAAAGTCCATAGTTATTGGAAAGTCTCTACATGTACTAACCTTGCTTTTTAGGCTTCTGAACTTCTGCTTCTCGCTGTTTGTGTTAAAGGAAGTATGTCAACCTAAAACAATGTTTTTCTCCTTAAAAACTCATCCTAAGAAAGTTTTGGGTTTGCACTGGAATCCTTAAAACCCACTGTAGTCACCACTCAGCTAACGAAAGACTTTCAATTGTCTTAAGCCTATGTTTGAGAAGTCTTCTCTGGTGAATACCCCACAACAATTCAAGGGATATGATGTAAAGGCATTCCTAGTCTGGAACAGGCATGGGTTCAACTAAAAAAGCTGGAAATATAATGAAGGCTTTCTATGTTCTGCCAAATATGTGTCATTTCTGTGTGAGTATGCCTTTCCCCCTTTCACTTTGGTGTCTCTCTCCAGTGACTGCTGTGGTTATTACAGGACATGCAAGACTTGATCTTTATACCTTGTCACCAAGGGAGGATATTTTCTTTGTCCAGGCACTGGATAACCCTTCTGCCCATGTAATAAACAAGGTCAGAAGGCTTGCCAGTGGCTGTCCTCCCTCTGTCTGTCATAACTCTTTAACTTTTTCTTCCGTCTCATTGGGCTTGAGACTATCAGTCACCTCTCACTTCTTTTCTCATCCTAGTTCACTGTATCAGACAGGAATTCCCTGAAAAATACAGTTTCTCTGCTTTTCCTAATCCTAATTAAATGGGAATTTAAAATCTAATTTTCTATAGCCAGTGATAATAGAAGTATTTTTACATGAAAAATGGGAAATTCTTGAAACTTTCATGTAGCCATGTTCTAGTCTCAAACACAAAACAGAATAATCAGTAAGGCCTAAATTTTGAAGATCATTAAGCAAACAATTACTTTTTATCTAGAAATATTAAAATTTAGTTTAGTAACAACATACTCCCCATATAAGTTACCTGAGTGGTTGTTGACATGACAAATTTAAAAAATTACAAATCCCCAAATTTGTTAAAAACCATCTTTAGTTTCCTGCCCCAAATGTCCTTTGGAATCACTCTTGACTGTTTTTCTTCATTATTTTTTTGAGATAACATTCTGCTTATTTTTCAAACACTGATGTGTTTATAATTTCTCCCATCTACTTTGTAGGCTGCTTTTATTAATTCTTTTGTCACTCCTGTGTCCTCAGTGGCTCTAATGCTGCCTAAAACCCAGAGGTGCTCACAGAAGAAGTATTGAGTGATTACAGGGATGACGCTAAACTGCTATTGCTGCCAAAGTCTCAGGGAAAAGACACAGAATTTGTACAAAAGTTAAAGAACATGATACTTCTAAGCAAGTAGCACTGGAAGTTTTTCACAAACCAGACTGTTTTGTACCTCATTCTACCATCCAAGAATGTAAAGACTTAAACTTGTGATGTTTGACTAAAAACAAAGGAAAACATCTTCGAAATAAAATTAAATGGGAAGAAAAAGAACATTAAAGAAAAGTAAGGTGGTATCATGGAAATACTTACACAGTTGAAAGATACAATTTAAGGAGACTAAAGAATAACAAATATAATGTGAATGCAACCGAGGTGGAAAACAGGATGATTTTATGTAAATATATGTTGTGTAATAATTATCCTAACCAAGTTAATTACTATATAAATTGCCACCAAACATTATAGGCTGAATTCATTTAAGAAAACAAGTAGAAATGCATAGTTAATACAGATGAACTGTCAGTGTTGTCCAGGTAATTACATGCTACTTCATTTATGGTTCTGAAAGATACACAGTGGAGCTTATATGTTTCTGCTTTTTGTAAGTAGACTGTCTCACAAGAGACAGATGCAATAGTTTCTACACTTTGAAAATCATCTTGGAAAAGGAAAAACTAGAGAGCATTGGTGGTTGACAAGAACTTCTGTTTCATGAAAAGGGACTAGCAAAGAAAACACAGGAGGATTTGGAGAGCAGTGAAATCATGTCACATAAACTAGATTCATATATTGTTGTATATCATAATGCTGCTACACATTTGTGTACACCCTTAGTGTGCTCAACACTAAAACTGAATCCTTCTGAGACCATGAATACTGGATGATTATTCTATGTCCATTAGGCTCATTTAGTATAATTACTATGTCTCTCTGTTGTGATGATATAGGTATGTGATGATTAGGTATGTGTAAGCAAAAGAGAGTACTCACCTCTAATTTTGCACAATCCTCAAAGTCCTTTAAAACCAACTTTAAAAAATCCATATATATACAAAGAAGCTGAGTACAGTACACATGGGACTCCTCTGTACAATCTTAGCATCTCTTCTGAGCCTGTAGGTATTTCAAAATAAAAGTTTTAAAAATCCTTAGTGTCTCTATAAAAAGAGAAATTCTCACTAATAAGTTTTGCTGCATTCCAAACAGATATAATAAGTATGTGCTGTTTTGACAGCACTCTCATGCTTTGTTTAGTCCAAATACTGTAAAGAAAGCCCTGCCTGAAGTGCCTAGGTAGATATGTCTGTATACTTAGAAGTACTGGTTATGATATTAGAGAACAGCCCCGAATATTGTGATTCAATGATAGATACTAGACGGTGATTTCCGCTGCTTTATTTCTCCAATGTGAAATTGCCACTTAGCCTTCATAAAGATTTTAATGAAAAAAATTAAGAACATAATCAAATAGTCTGCAAACAAACCAGCAAACTAGTTGAATGTAATGGCCTGTGGTAGATCGACTACGTTAGCCTCCATAAGACAAATAAATAGAATTATTTCTACACTCCCATGAGAGGTTGATTGAATGCGAAAATGTAACAAAATTATCCATCTACCCCATTGATTTCTAACTTGTTTCCAGTCTTAGCTCCTGAGACACAAAACAAAACAGATTTTTTATATGTGGAAATGGAAAGCAAACACATATTTATTTTACTTTCTTAGATTAAAATTGAGAATGAAATGATATAGATTATGAAATTAGGTTGCAGTATACAAGAGATTTCTGAAGAAAAATAAACAAAACTTGTAGGAAATCAATTAGTTTTGTTTATTTTGACCACTTTCCCTTTGGAAATATCTGGTACAATTTACTTGGTAGAACTCACCCTCAGCTCCACACTCTAGTTTATCTTTTCCCCAAACATTCTTTTCTTTAATGAAGAAAATCCAAAATGAAAGAAACAAAATCAAGTGATTAAATATATGCCTCCTCTAGTTCTCACCTGAAAAATAATAAATATGCCAGATACCAGAACAGTTGGATGGAGAATGCCACACAAACTTTGAAACATATGTGGCTTTATCTAAATGGAAAACAGAAGGATGAAGCCAAATATTCCCACCAAGTAAATGATACATGGGAAGTTAGCAAATGCAAACATCCTAAATAATTGTGAAAAATAACCAACTAAATACATATTTATTTAAGAGGCACCACACAAATCAATGTTAGAAGATTCACTAATATTTGTGTAATATTGGTATGAAACACATTAAAGGGCATTTGGTCACACATACCAAACATCCAAAGACTGAATGAGTACTATATATCAGCTAATGTTGGCTTTTTGCAATGGAATGTGTGACCCTTGAGAGAGGCAATTGCATTAGGGTAGAAATAGGATACCGTAGGACTTGATATCTGTAGTAAGACAAAAAAATATGGACGTCTTTGTCCTGGGAACCAATAAGCAGTAAATACAGCAATCTTAAATCTGTTAAAAACATTTTCAGCAAAGATATAAAAGTAAAGTGACTATAATATTCCTCTCATTAAAAGAAACTTGGTTTTCTTTCTTTCCAGTACTACATTTGTAATTAAGTTGAAAATTATTCACTCATTCATTCATTCATTCCTTCAATAGCAGAAAATATTACAGAAATTCCCAGATTCCTGAAGAAAACAAACAGTCTGGTATACATAGAATAGTAGGTCAGGTTCAGAAAAATTGGCATAGAGGAATGTGGACAGGGGATAACCCGTGATCAAAATAAGACTTCAAAGTATCTAGGTTGGGGAGACAAACAGCAGTTTAAAATGTCTAATCAAGGTGCATGCAAGTTCAATGTGAATTATTTCCCAATGAGTGTCAGAAAAGGTGAGCAGCCCAGTGGAATGGTGGGAAGAGGAGGCCAGGAGGTGAAGGGTCACGCTGAGAGGCCCCAGGGACCCCTTGGTTCCTCCTTCATCTTAGTGCCACCGTGGATAGGCTTCATTCCTTTCCTCTTGTGCTTTTACATTTTAAAATAACTTTTACTTAACAGAAATACAACATATCATGCACAATGTGTTTTAAAATACATACAGATCATGGATCTACTAAATCAAACTGGTATGTAGATGCACATCTCACATACTTAACATTTTTCATCATGATAGCTAAAATCTACTCAAGGATATAAAATGAACTGCTGTTGACTTTCCATGGTTTTGTGGTTTTTACCTTGCCTAGACAAGTGTTCAAAGCAGCACCCACATATACTGTGAATGGCACATTTGTTCACCCAGACACATGTAGCAGATTTATTATGCTGAGACAGAATCTTAAAAAATATTCTATACTTTATTAAAGTCCTCTTTCTCTGCACTTCCACTCCCTCTGCTGGTTATAAAGATTGAAAACTCTATACTTTGTGAATCTGCTGTGGCTTCAGCTGGAACAGAAACATGGCTAAGGAAGCTATCTATGGCTATTAAGCTCACACCTGAAAAGCAGCACCAGTCTCTCACCTGACCATGATGGAGTTGTTCATGGTGTTGGCTACAGGACCAAAGATTGTTTGTTTTGTCACTTTGCCTTTTCTTTTTTCCCTGCAACTATCTGTAAACTTTCTCCCTGTTCTTTTCAGGGGGCTGTAGCAGATGAGTAGGCAGAGGTTCTGGGTCTGCCTTAGCTCTAGATTTCTATATACCTTAGAACAGCAACAGGACCAGAAGTCTCTCAAATGTGACTGGATGAAATGCTGCCACTGCACTTTATAAAGAGGAATCTGCCCTGCATAGAGAGCTTGAGCTATCAATGACAGTAAAACCCCCAGCACTCTTTTGTAAACTTCTTGCAAGTTTAAGGATAGGGCTCCCAAGAAAATTTCATTTCAAAATCTTAAAAGTTAGATGTCTATTTCTTAATAGTATAGCACAAGAGCAAATTCTTGCTCTCCTTTGGCTCTTTTAAATTTTGTTTATTTGATCCTATTCTGTTATTTTATTATTATTGTTGTTGTTGTTGTTGTTGTTTTTGTTGTTGTTGTTGTTGTGCCTGTTTCTATCCTAAAGGAAAAAAAGAGAAAGGCTCTGGATTTGGGTGGATGGGGAGCCAAAAAGAGCTGGGAGGATTGGTAGAGGAGAAATTATCAGAATATATCCTATGAAAAAAAAAACTGTTCTCAATAAAAAGCAAGGCTAATTCTAGCTTGTGGTTGTTATGATTCAGGCTCAGAAGTGACTATTACTCTAAAATGATTTTAAAACCTTCGTCTTTAAAAATGTAGCTTAATTGTACAGAACTCGATTTACTGAATCCTAAGGCCTCGATTGGTTTCTAATGTCTTTCCTCTGTCAGGCTTTGGAAATTCATTCCCTCACAGCACTTGCTTCATGTGTTTTATGTGCTGGAGTCATTTGGGGTCCTATGCCAAGTCACACAAAAGAAACTTGGCAGTAGCTTGAGGAAACAATCCAGCAACACCCTTACTGTTTGCTCAGGTCCAGCATTTCCTCCTTGTTCACATTCAGTGACTAACACCCCAGAGAAACCAAATCTGTTTGATACAAACCACGCTTCCCAGAAAAGCAACATAGATAAGACCCCCACATGTTAGGTGTGTGCTTATTTGTGGCTCTGTTTGCTTTTGCAGAAGTGATACAGGAGGGAGGTAGAGGAGCTTCTGCTTCTTTCTTCTGCCCTTCACGTGATGTGGGACATGATGCCCAGACTCAGCAGGAGTTCATGAAGAATGGAGCAAAGGGAAACCCTCATCCTTGTCTCTCCTGCCAGCTACAGGACCGTGCTGTGGGATAATCCTTTATGCCGTGAATATGTATTCCTCTCCTTGGTTAATAACAAAGCTAAATTGGCCTACAGCATGGCAGAATAAGGCTAAGGGGTAAAGCCAAACTGAAAATATAGAGAGGAAGAAGGGAAGAGTCAGAGAGATGCAAGCCAGCTGCCAAAGGAACAAGATGTGCTAGAGAACAGGTAAAACCCCAAAGCCACATGGTAAAAAAGGTAGATTAATAGAAATGGGTTCATTTAACATGTAAGAGCTAGTTAGTAATAAGCCTAAGCTATAGGCCAAGCATTTTGCTATTAATACAGTCTTTTGTGTGATTATTTGGGACCAGACAGTCAAGACAAAAAGAAAAGCCCCATCTCCCTTTTCAGGACCAAAGTTTATATTGTTTTTTCCTCATCTGGCAGTTTTGCACACATTCTTCTCCCTGCTCTTTCCAAGAAAACTTGGGGGCTAAGACTGTGTCTTATTGTATGTAGAATATAGTTCTATCTTTTCAGTAACCAAGGTTTTAAGTACGAGGGTTCTGAATACATATTTTTTGAGTGAAAATATTGAAGGAGATATTCATTTAAGCTCTTCCCAAGGCATATAAAAATCTGGACTTCTTTTTATTAATAATAATGACATTAATAATTATAACTGCTGTATTTACTAAATATTTATAATGGGTTGGGTCTGCATTAAACTTTACAAATATTATCTTATTTTATACAGCCCAATGAAATAAGATCCTATCTTTTTTCAATTATTTATTTATTTATTTATTTATTTTTTCCAACTTTTTTATTTGAATTAGAAACAGGATTTTTTACATGACAATCCCATTTCCTTCTCCCACCCATCCTCCCCTACCCACCCCCCTACTAAAACCTTATCTGTCACATATCTTTTCTGCTCTTAATTTCACACATGAGAAAAATACATCTTAAGCAATTAAATTATTCCCTAATTGCCCAAGAACTCTACCCTAAATAACTTATATTGTCTTTAATTATTGTTTTCTGAAATTCCTTGGTCATATGGAACACTGATAATGGGAAATTGGGGTCTCATTTTATTACCCTAAATCTCTAAGACTCCTTTCCAGAGTAGATCAAGGACCCAAATATCAAAGATGTGTCTACATGTAACTGAGGACAGGTACAGGGTAGGAATTCTCATGGACACCAGGAAAAATGTTAAGTATAAACATTGACATTGGGGATGAGGCATGCACACGTGATGGCGTGCCTATATGTATGCATGTTTGCATATTTGTGGGTATGTGAATGCATACACATATACATATGCCCGCAGAGGCCCATGTATGA